CATGGATGCGTCGTCGACATAAAGCGACATCAGCACTAATCAGCAGGCATCGGAGTGGGACGCCCAACCATCAATATCAAGCCAATCATTTTATAATTTTTAGAAGTTTTATCGTCTGTTATATAATTTACAGTGTGTTTAATTTTAATGGCATGCAGACGTTTCAATTAAAATTGAAGCAAAATTTTCTTGCCTCGGCTAGGATTTGAACCCAGGACCCTTGCGTATCTAGTGCGACGTTCTACCAACTGAGCTACCGAGACCTCTTTCATTTCTACCTTATCGATCAAGTCTTTCATCAATTTTAAGTTGTTAGGTTGTGAAGACCAACGGCAACCATCGGCGGTTACCGTTGGAATGGGAGTGACTTAGAAGGTATAAGGGGAACATACCCACAATAATTAATGGGGTCCGTTAAGCTGGCCCCCCCCGCATTGATTTTTTTCTTCAAAACGCTAGCACACGATCGTTAGAGCTAGCACAACCTAGCACAAGCTGTTGTAGAGCTAGCACAGTCATAGTAACAAAAATAAATCCTAGTTAGTGCGGGGGGGGGCCAGGTTAACGCTAGCCCCCCCCCCCCCCCCCCCCCCCCCCCCGCATTGTTTCAAGGGGCCATAAAGCTAGCACAGCTTCTTTGGAGCCAGTACAGGCTAGCACAATAAAAAAAAATGCTAGCACAACTATTCGTTTTAAAATAATAAGGCACAAATGCGGGGGGGGCCTTAACGTTTGTTAACGTTTGGGATTTTTTGGGAGTTGGCCATGAAAACTGTTATGGAAGCTTGGTAAATAGCTAGCACAACCTAGCACAACCCCCTTCAGATCAATCAGAGTTTTGGAACGGAAGTTATTCCCTAATTTATGCAGGGGTGGGGAAAGTTAACGCTATTCCCTTCCTTGCCCGTTTTTGAGTCGCTTTAATGCTGGCACAGCTTTATTTGCGTTAGCACAGCCTAGTACAACAAAAAAGAATGCTGGTACAAGTAGGTATACTTTCATGATAATTAGGCCATAATTGGGAGCGTGGGGGGTTTTCAACCTTTGGGGATCTTTTAGGGATTTGTCATGAGAACGGTTATAGAACCGTGGTTAGTAGCCAGCGCAACGCTATAGCCTAGCACGTTCATTTTTCAATCAACCCAAAATTTAAATATAGAAATTATCCCCTAATTTATGCAGGGGTCGGGATAGACCTCTATCGCTTTACCCTTTCTCGTCCGTTTTTAAGTTGCTTTATTTACTTTTTAATCAATCATTTACATACCTATAGTATTTTCAAAGTCAATTGGAACAAGGTAACAACTGGTGGCTGACTGGTCACTGATAATGTTCATAAGAAATGCACTGCCACTAGTCTGCCACCAGTTATACGATTTACTTTTACCTTGTTCAAATTGACTTTGGAAATACGGGGTGTCCCAATAGAAAGTGACCAATTTTAAATGCTTATAACTTATTTATGCATATAAGCCCTTGGAACCGGTCAGTTTCTATTGGGACACCCTGTACTATACCTAGCTACTTTTTATTTGAAGAAATAATGAGAAGTTATTTTTTTTGGTGGCAATTAAATTATTAACATTGAAAATGTTTATATTATCGCACGGGCACGTAGTATGGGGTACGAAATTCGAAATTCTTGTGTTGCATTTGTCTCATAGGTACGTCACAGAGTCGGGGAAGGGATACGAAACGCCGCTGCTCGCAAGCAAGATTGAGCGGTGTTGCCGGATGATTTTTTTAAAATTTTAAATGGTATGCATGCCATATTAGGCAATGGTTAGTGAAAAGAAGAAGTAGGTAATAGTATATTATGCAATCAACGGTACGAAGTGCCTCGAACGGTTCTAATTGCTCCGAACAATTCAAAAATGTTCCGAATAATTCAGAACTGCTCGGAACTGTTCCAACTGCTCCAAACAGTTCAAATTCTTTCAATGAGTTCGAACTGCTCCAAACAGTTTAAACTGCTCCGAACAGTTTCAGCTGGACAAACGGTCACACAACAAAGAAACAGTATAAAGGATAAATTATTGTCAAAACTATTTTTTCTTCAAGGTATCGCATCTAAACCTACCTATTTTATTCAAGTGGCTCAAGTGCAACTTATTTCTAACAATATGAAACAAAAAGTTCAATCAAAATACCTAAACATTTTACATAGGTATAGTATTTCCAAAGTCAATTGGAATGAAACAAGGTAAAAATAAATTGCAACTGGTGACATAGCTAACTAGTGGCAGTACATTTCTTATGGAAATATTCAGTCACCACTCAACAGTCAGCCACCAGTTGTGATTTATCTTTACCTTATTTCAAGTGGCTTGTAAAGACTATACTTAAATTATTAAATTTTTTCTATGGCTTGAATTTAATTTTTCCGTTCGCCTGGGAATTTTTTCTACCTATTTTTTTGTACTTAGTGTTGGGTTAGCTGTTTTGTTTAGACTGTGGAAATCGCTACTGTTATTATTAGCAAAGCAAAATTAAATTATTTTTCACATTCTATTATTATAGGTATTCTGTAAAAATAGAAATTTTCCATGTTTACTTTATTTTACCCTCAAAACATCGATATTTGTCAAACATCGATATTTGTCAAACATCGATATTTGTCAAACATCGATATTTTCACTTCGATACATCAGTTGCATCGATGGTGAAGTATCGATGTTGCCACCGATGTCCAAAATCGACATCTGTAATCGATGTCGCATCCCTAAGTTCTACCTCGCCACTAGGATCTAGCCGTAGCAGATGCGAATCGATTTTGCCCCAAAGTGCGCATGCTTGCCTATTCTCAACAATCTCAACGGATTGTATCGATTCGCAATTCGACGCGACGTTTGGATTCGGAATTAAAATTATTAATAATATTTATTATTGCTACAAAAATAAAAACAATGGCAGTATTGAGTATTATAGGGCATTCCGTAATTTCCATATTTCCAAAATATTTAGATTTTGAAATATGTATATCTCTTTCAGCTAGAAGAGGAGACTGAATACTGCTGAAACACCCTGTATAAATTATACAGGGTGTTTCGTGTATTCTAACTTGCCTCGACTATGATTTGAACCCAGGACCCTCGTATATCCAGTGCAACGCTCTACCAACTGAGCTACCGAGACCTCTTTCATTTCTACCTTGTCGATCAAGTCTTTCATCAATTTAAGATTGTTAGTTGTGAAGACCAACGGCAGCCTTCGGCGGTTACCGTTGGTATGGGAGTGAGTTCGAAGGTATAAGGGGAACAGATTCACAATTAATGATTGTTTGGAATCCATTATCCCTTCAACCATGGATGCGTCGTCGTTAGAACCAACTAAGAAGAACCTCTGACGTCATCACTGACGAAGAAGGCAAATTTCCTGCTCTCAAGGGCCCTCCCATTTGAAGTGAGATAAAAGATCACGCTGTGGCTTCTTCTTAGTTGATATTATCTATATCAATTATCGAAAAACATAATAGGTATATGTATTGTACCTATCGTATGGAATATACGAAAACTCTGGTAAACGATTGAAATAAAAATGTAGTCTCGAAAGCTAAAGGGACTTTCCAAAAAAAAATATCGGTGGTAAAATGCTTTAGTGCAACACGTAGTTTCTTATGAGCTGCATTTCTAATGTTGAAGTTAGCCTTTTTAGACCGATTTCAATATACATACATGCGGAATATATTAATTTTCAAGAAAAATCTATAAATTAAATTGGTTCTATTTTAAGGTGCGAAGTGAGGTTCTAATAGGGCATCCTATCAATTTGGCGGCCTAGGTCAAACAGTGACATTAGCGCCATAAGGATTTTATTTACCTTTTGGTGGATTCCTGTCTCATTACAGTTCGTTTAAAACTGGTATAAAAAGTACTGGTATAAAAAGTACGAAGCGCGCTTTGTTTTTTAAATTCATTATTAACATACAAGGACTAGCACGCATTACGTGGATGGGTTAATTTGGGTTAGTTTGCATATTTTTGGTTAGTTTGATTTACAGTTCGTTTAATACTGGTTATGAGTGTACTGGTTAAAAGCAAAGTGCGTTTTTGTTTTTCTAAATTCAATATTAACATTCAAGGATTAGTACGTATTACATGGACGGGTTAGTTTGGGATAGTTTGCATACTTTTGGTTAATTTGGGAAACAGTTCGTTTAATATCTACTGATTATGAGTGTACTGGGTTAAAAGCAAAGCGCGCGAAGTGCTTTTTTAAATTCAATATTAACATACAAGGACTAGCACACATTACATGGACGGGTTAGTTTGGGATAGTTTGCTAGTTTGGTTAGTTTCGTTGCAGTTCGTTTAATACTGGTTCTAATTGTACTGGCCTAATCGTCAATTTTTCATATAATTTTCCGATGGAAAATCTACATTTTCTGAATTTATTTATAGCTTGCATGTTTGTATTTGAAGCAATCTTTCTCAAAAAAAAAAAAAAAATGCCGTGTTTATTGAGACCTATAAGTTACCAAATCCAGAAGATTTTTTACGTTTTTGGTGGATCAACGTTTCCAATGAGGATTTTCTCTTTGAGATTTAGCGAGCGCCATTCTAGACTTAAAAATAATTTAAATTAAAAAAAAGAAATTGCTTGTCTTTTGCCGCCATATTGCTTTCTTCTGCCAGGTTGGATTGTCAATGTCATTATTGCGCTACCTTTTACTACGCGGCGGTTCAATAACAAGTCTCTATTCTTATTATTCCGCCGCGGTGTAATGGTAGAATAGGAATAGGGTTTTTTTTAAATAAAATTATGAATATTCGTTTACTAAGGCAAAAAACGTCAATATCCGCACGTAAATTGATCCAAAATCAACTGTAGAAAGGATATATCAACTAATTTTTATAGAAGATTTGTTAATTTTGGTTGCACTAAAGCGTCTTACACCCAAAATATCAGTGAAATAAAAGCTATAGGGATGTTCCTACATGGATGGATCCAGCTACAATATAATTTGTTGCAAACTACGGTAAACAATATTTTTATTCAAAGTAACACCTAACTATTCTGTCCTTTTTTCAACTCTGTAGCTTCATAACATTGGACACATCGGACAATTACAGCATCTCCGTCCGGTGTCAATTGTAGATCACATCTTCTACACTGCATCGTTGGGGCTACATTTAAGCTGGTAGTGAAAATAGCCTCACCTTTCGGGGGAACTGCAGGATAATCAGGAAACGGTATACAGTTTGGTGATGCTTGCCCGTCAGCCGATGGTAGAGGACAGAACTCTCTGCCTGTTGTTCTTGGAGTGCAATACGGAGGAGCTGAGTCTGGTGGTGTTTCACCGGAACTGGAGTAGTTTGCTGTAGTGTCATTTATTTGCGGACACACGCATTCAGGGTTAGGATTTTCAGGGTTTTCATCAGCCGGAAGCCTTGGTGTAGATGCAATTAAAAGAATCAATGTGAATAATATAGGCATCGTGTGAAAATACTGGAATTTTGCATGAGGTTTATTGGAAAGGAAATCAAATGACAAGAAATTGACACTAATTTATCCTGGTAAGAATTAGGGTACGTGCGGTATAAGTCTGAACTACACCATTTCCACTTTTAGTTCAAAATAGATAAAGTTGATTTCAAAAAGCATCAAATGTATTTCAAAATAACAACTTTAATTTAAAAAAATAACAAATGTATTTCAAAATCATCAATTGAATATCAAAAATCATCAATTTAATTTCAATCTTTATAAACTTTATTTCAAAATACATCAAATGTATTTCAAAATACCCAAATTTATTTCGAAATACATCAAATGTATTTCAAAATAGTGAAATGTATTCCAAAAATGGTCAGTTATATTTCAAAGATTACCAATTCGGTTAAAAAATAAAGTAGGTATGTGTTTTTATCGTACATTGAAAAAAATCAAATTATAACCAGACACCTTGTACATCCCTTACGGTTTTTAATATAAGAAATGATGATTTTGAAATACATCTGATTTTTTTGGAAATAAAAATGGTACAGTTTGAAATACATTTGATTAATTTGAAATACTGTTGGAAATGGTGTAGATTGTAGAATGATAAATTTAAGGCCTTTTCGGAAACGCTAATCCGATTAACCCGATCATCAGCTGTTTGTCTTTTATTTCTTTTTGATGAATACGATTGAAAAAAGACACAAAACTACAGCTGGTGATCCGGTTAATCGGATCAGTGTTTCCGAAAAGGCCTTTAGTAAAATCTGTGTTTTTTTTTTTTAAAGATAATTCCCCAAGTCAAAACAATTAGGGCGAATTCTCATGAGCGTAAGTTGACATTTCTGGCGTAATCACGTGATATTATGGTGTAATTTGATTGGTAAAATATCCAACATGTCAAATATGTTTTCAATAAAACCCAACCATTTTATCACGTGATTACGCCAGAAATGTCAACTTACGCTCATGAGAATTCACCCTTAGGCATTCCAACGACCTGTCAAAAACTGCGTTGTGGCGGAAGTTCATTATCCCGTATATGAGGGTATGTGATTTAAAGCGGTTTAGTACGCTTTCCGGACACACGATTTTTACCACTTTTTTAATTTGATCAAATAGAGGGTTCTTAATATAGTATTTTACAAAAAAAAAATGTGGAAAGATTTAAAGCTTTTTAAAGTGCATTTTGTGGTTGTTTTGTGAATGAACTCTGTTTATTTTTTTATTTTATTGACTTCATTAGTGTTTCTTCCAATTAAAAATGCCACAAACGGGTCTTGAAGTTGATTGTGGAAGTAGTTTCAACAAGGTAACAAGGATGATGTCAGGCTTTTTTCATTGCCCTTTGTTTTAAAATTTTCCAATTAAAACGTGAAAATTTTTCACCACCACTGTTCCTGCATCTGAAATAAAGCCATTTTCGAAATATTCGTAAGAATCAAAGCTTTTGTAGGCCTTCATTTGCTCATTAATATGAACTGTGGATCAAAATGTCATCTGGACATTTTTTTAAACTAACCGTTCGCCCAGATCCCGATTTTCCTGCATTCAAGTCCTACGGACGAGTGAAATTATATAAAACACGCAATCGTGAAAAATTATCGGTAATTTTGCAGCTCTCGTGGTATTATCCCCGATAACATTTTCCATTGCTTCTCTATTCCTTGCGGTGTGTATTAACGACTGCACATCATGTAGTCCTGTCCACTGTCAGATATTTCGCAGCCAAGACATTTTCTTTTTTCCGATCCTTCTCCGGCCTTCGATTAACAGGTGTTCATTCGTTACCAATTATAACTCTCTTCTCACATCTACGAGGAAAAATTGTGATGATACTTTCCTCAGCATCCTGCATGTTCAACGTGAATAGATGTAGGTATCAAAAATTTACAATCATTACCTATTCAAACTATTTTTTTTTGTACCGCTACTGTTTTCCTTCCCTAGAAAGATCATTTCATCATCCCCCTTTTTTGTCAAATGATATTATTATTGATATTCATGTTTGTCGTTTCCAGTATTTTATCTGTCTTTTCGCTCTATAATAAATGACATTTGTTGGCACGCCATACCACAGAAATATATCCAAACAACGTTTCTTTTTAGTAGGGGGTTTTACCCACAAGGCATTCTTCTTTAGACTAAACTTTTGCCATAATGTGTCCTTTTGTCGTTCGGAATTGCGTTATTTATGAGATTGTCTGTCTGACTCAAATAGAGGCTTTTGTCATATTATTACACTGAACTTTTGTTGGATTTGCATGGAACGAAGTCATTTATTTTGTGAAAATTTAAAAGCCAATTAAACAAACGAATATGTCACTCCAAAAAACTATTTGCCAGTTCGCCTCACCCCCGATTTCGAAAATAATTGTTAATTAAAACCATCTGTACGTCTTGTGCAAACAGCAAAACGATCTCAAGAAAACAAACACATGCAAAATAACGTATGAATAGAAATTTGAGCAAATGAAGCCCTCCGATCTAGTAAACGACAATAGATTTTGGGGGGAGAGAGTTCGTTCCTTCCGATATTTGACGCCTTGCTCCAGTTTAATCGAAGATTTAACCCCTTGTGCCGAGAGGGTGGATGAAGAATAGGCTCTATTGTCGTGTCAAAATAAAAAGTCCGAAAACAAAATTTCGTATTGTGTTCCCTGTGGAGGTTGTGAGTGATGTGTGGAAGTGGGTGCTTTTTAAAAATATCTCTGATATTGCACGCCCATCCTGTTTTGTGAGTTTCAAATACCTTATCGAGATTTTATGTTTAGATATATTTTGTCATTTCCTGACTACATAACATGAACCATGAAGTTTCAATAATGCTATTAAAAAGTACTCTTTGCGGTTTTATTCTAAAACGCTATACTATTATTCAGCAGAACTTATTTCATTTAGTTATTCAGTTTTTGTTCCAAATACTACATACTTAACTTCACCAATTGAATACCTCTTCTTCCTTCTTTTCAATTTATTTCTCTTTTCTATTTCATTATACCAATTGCATTCCCCATTAAATAAACCATTAATTTATCTCCTACATAAAGCCTGATACTTAAAAGGTATTATAAAAAACTGGCTCGCCAAAGAAAATAATAATAAAAAAAAGTGTATAGAAACCCCAGGCAGAGCGAAGTGTGTGTCTGAATTAAAAATACGAAAAGTGCACTATTCAATCTGCATACATTTTTGTTAATAGGGCGGAGTGCAGAAAGTGATAAACAAACAGTTTGAGGGTTTCGTCTCAAGAGACATACTCCGGGGGCGCTAATCCGAATGAAAGCCCTTTTGTAATGGGCATTAATGGATGCCCAGCGACATCTATGGAACGCGCGTGTCGTAAAATCCAGCACAATTGTAATAAAAAGTAGACTTACCTGTGGGAAATTACGTTGATTGAGGAAGGTGCCAGAGAAAATTGTTTTTGTGAAAGGAAAAATAGAAAATATATGATGATGATGGAAATAACGTAGTAGGCATTAGAGATATTTTTTGTTTACTTTTAAAAATATATGGATCTATTAACATCCTTATTTCTCAAGATTTTTTTATGTAATGCATTTTTTTGGTTATTTAGTAATATAGATTATTCTATACCTATATCATATAATTATTATGAGTATGTACCTTGTACCTACTATTTCCAAGGGGATACCAGTGACTTCTTGGTTGGGTTTTCAAACTTATAGACTTACCTTACGTCTTGAGGCAATTAGCACTGAGGTGTATTTCAATCATGAACCCGCTTCTGATACCATTAGCCACTATTTTCAGGTATCCAGCAATGTCTCCAATGATCAAACTATATCGTACTTTCAAACTGAAATTCGATTAGGATTTTCAATTATTATTTGGCATTCAAACGCAAATAAACTACGAAAAAGTAGACGTCCATCCCGGATCGTTTTATTTTACAATGAAAAGTGACGGTTTAATTTCGCAAATAACGCTAGAGAAGAGGAGCCCCCTTTTGATTAAAATTTTCGAAACCGTACGACTACAATGGAATTTCCGGTATCGTACAACACCCCTCATCCCCCTGGTTAAAGTATGTCCGCCTAATCAAGAACAGGACCCTTTTTGTCAATAGATTTTGTCTGGTATATTCCTGTGATTGATTGAATCGAAAATTGAGTTTGTACTTTTTTTTCTACCTTTTGTGTGTATTTTGAGGGGATCTATTTCCAATTCGGATTTATATGACTGAAGGAGCTTTGAGTACTCTGCTAATTCAACAATTAAAAATAGAAATGAAAAGAAATTGGAAATAATTTCGTGCATTGAAGATGGGTGATACCTATATGAAAAATCGACACATCATTTACACTTAAGTTCACTTGACTGACCATCATAAGCAATAAAATAAATCCAGCTATAGCACCGCCTTTTCGGAATAGTATTAATGGGGCAGTCGATGAGGGGTGGTTCTTTTTCTCCGGTGGCTATTTAGGGGACTTCCGGAACGTTCCGGAAACATTACACATATAGCTTCCTCTGTCTGGTGCGTCTTTTCTTCTTTATATCGTCATTAATCATAACTTATTTGACAAATACCTATTCGCATTTTTGTCAGTGGCGGAGAAAAACAACTTGGATCTTTGGTTGAATCAGGATCTAAAGAATTAGTTTGATCAAGCTCATACCCTTAATCAAAAAACAGGCAAGAATTATATTCCATTGAAAATGTAGGGGGATAGAATGGGCAACTGTACTTCAGTAAAGTGAGTGGCGACTGACAAGTGACGGGGAGTCATTATGAGCGAAGTTATAGTAAAGGCAGGACCTTTCCATAACAGCTGAACTACAGGGCTATAGCACATAAAAAGGAATGAAGAACAACAATATAGGTATGATTTCTCGAGGGTTCTAAGATATTCTGAGACTGTCTGAAATATGTGTATATGTCGTAGCCATATTGTAAATTCCGCCATTTTATAAAACGGCTAGCCACTTTATGAAACGAGGCCATATTGCAAAATAATCATTTATTTTAAATTATTTTGTAATATGGCTGATATTTTCGCCATTTCATACATTGGCCGTTCAAGTACAATATATCCTCAAACAGAAATAACTTTTTGTTGTTTTGCATTTCGGCGAATATCACTATCAGCCACAATATAAAATAAAAGGGAGGTTACCTATCTGTTGGCCGCCGACAATAAACTTCTTTCACGGTTAAATTTAAAAAAAAAAAAAGTTAAGAAGTTTAATTAGTGTACGTTATAGCTAGCTTTGTATTCCTTTTTACCTGCGGAAAAATCTTTGTTATATAATCATTCATG